ATAAAGGGAAAAAAAGGAAAAAATGCCCTGGCCGAGATTTGAACCCCGACCACCTGCATGCAAAGTCGTGTCTTAGACTACTGCTCCACGTCGCCAATTCGACAAAATTATGAACCTTCGCTACGCGAGGAAATTAATGAGCATCAACCCTATATAAATTCGCTAATACGCTTGACAGGCTTGTTCTTTAGCCAATTTTAATGCACTATTATAGTTACCTTCTGCCTTTGGACAGGACTCAGGATGCAGTGAAGAAATCTGTTAAAGGGGAAGAAATTTTACCTGTCAGTAAGCATAACCAATACATTCTTGAGTGACGGGCAAAGCTTTTGCATAGAGTCAGGCTTTTTGCAAAATATTAGAAAGCCCTAGTGCCCATACTTAAGAATAAATTTCAATTCGCGTGCAAATTAATTAAAAGTAACCGTCATTTGAATGGTTGTGATGAGGATTCAACCCATTCGCTCCTGGAAATATTGCCGAAAATCGCCCTTTGAAGCTACAATAGTTGAGCGGTGTTCTGGTCAAACAAGATTTTCATCGGAATTTTCGGGTCAACTTTACAAGGTTTTTTTTTTTTTTGGCCTTTTTCTCCGGCCTCCTTCACTGAATTGTGCTTATTCTGTTATGGTTTGAAAGACCTCTTCCCCCTGATAGATGACTTAATAGTAGTTGTTCTTGACCGTTCAAAACTGATGATGTCACAAGCAGTAGATGGAACGTGGGCGGTTGCAGGGGTTCAGCGGCGAACGGGATAACTGCAAATACGAAAAACGCCATTTTGTTTTAAACTTTGCTTGCTCACCTCTTTGGATAAAAATAAGCTATAACGAGAAACAACACTCCCGAGGTCCCCGCGTGAATCTCCAGGTTCGCTAAAGGTACAAAAACAAATGTTACAGTAAAATATGCATGCTTTCTATTTCGGATTATAGTTAAAGGTACTATGTCTCAAACTTTGCCCAAATGTCGTATTAGCATTGTTAAAGGTTTGCTTATAGTGGAAAGTGCACTTAGCCTATCCAGCTAGTTTACAGGCACTTTACTCAAATGATCAGAAACACATAATTTAAACATAACATAACAGGAATAAACACCACAACTGACAGGAGGCAACCAGTTGGTTATTTGAAAGCACGGCAGAAGATTTGAATTCGGGACTAGCGTAAACAAACTGCAGCAAGTGGTCAGAGCGGGACTCTACTCAAGGTAGTCTAGCAGTTTCCTCCTTAGAGACTCAGTAGTCTTCCCGCTTATTTATGATCCTCGCAGTGAATTTCATCATCATTTAGGCAGTTGAAAAAGAAAGAAAATTTAAACAAAATCAGGCTTACCCACAAAGAATGCCAATCACTCAGATCAACGAATTGAAGTGGAAGTGAAAAGTCAACCTAACGGAGGTAACCGGTCATTTCGCCCCAGTTACTAAGACGCCGTAAGACCCCTATTTTCGAGTCATTTAAATATGTAATATTAGGACCAGACCCTGCCCCGAACCCACCGCTTCCACCTCCTCAAATAAATCCCACTCCAAGCTTCATGGGATGTGTAAAAGAAACGAGGATCCATGACTGATACAACGCTTATTGATCCAAGCAAATATTTAGCGATATATCGCTACAGGTGAAACAAACGGTAAATCTAGTACATTTACTGTAAAATTACAAACAGTTACACAAACAGATTGTCTGGGGCTCCTGTGGAATGAGTGCAAAAACAGGCATTTTTGAAATGTGTCTCAAAAGGCTTTATCCGAGGTTGTAGTTCTCTTAGTCTGTTAAAGCGCTCAAAGTATATTGCAGTTGTAATTCGAATTGATCCAAAGTACGGGAGAGGCCTCTGTTGGTTCTTCAACTGATACTTCTGAATCTTTGTTTTATTACTTACCTACTGGTTGATGGTTCCTTTGATAGGTCTTCGTTGGTTTCTTGTTGCATCTGACGTGGGTTTTCTAAACGCCCTTTGAGTTTATTGCTGTCACAGTCTCTCTCGTCGTCATCACTAACGCGGTTACTGGCTTGGGTTTCAGGTCTCTCACTGGGTTCTTTAAGACAAAAATATTTTAGTTTAAGCATATAATTGGACGAACCCGAAAAAAAAAGCGAAGAAAACGGTCCGAACAACACATCCGAGGAACTGACGTTAGTGTTTCCAAAAGGATGAACAAAGGTGTGTGGGTTCACACTAGAACTTCAGGTAAGACTGACTTTATCTACTAAGGTGGTCGAGTGTGTACTTTGCTTAATGATGGTACTGTTGGACTTGAAACCTTTAGTAAGCTGGCAAATGTAAAGGTTCCCAGTGTTTCTTGACGACCAGCAAAAAGTGAAATTGACGTGAGCGTTTGTGAATGGCGTTATCTCAGAATTGAGCTGAAATTTCATACGCCCGCCGTAGTCAATCGAACGTTCGGTAATCGAACTCAATCGAACGCCGATCGTTCGATTGACTTCGACTGGGTTCGGTAATCGAACTCACCTAAAACCTTTCCCAATCGAGCATAATCGAACGTTTTGAGATGGAAACGTCAACAATTGAACACAAAACAAGTTTCATATCCTCGGCTGATCTCGTTTCAAACAAGCACTGTGGTTAAAAAATGAGTTGTGTGTTAGCTTCAATTTCAACCTGAGTATATAGGCAAGATGTCGGAGAAAGCCGAAATCGTTAAACCCAGCGTGAAACTAACAATTCTGGAAGCGATGGCCGTTACTGATGGTTAAAGGTTAGCACGAGTGCCCTTTCGCCGTCGGTATGGATGAAAAGTTTTTTGGTAAGAGAAAAAGGGGAGGTAGGGATCCAGCTCTTACGGTAACTGGCAATGGCGGCGGCCCGGTCAGCTTAGACTTTGCAACGTGAACTGATGCCGGTGCGTTGCCCATTGACTGTCGAAGTCAAAGTGCAAGTATTATGCCCGCTAAGGTCATTAAGCACTTCCAGTATTAACTGCGAATTTCTTGATTACTTTAACAATGAAGATCTAAGTCAACTGAAATGTCCTTATGTTTTCATACCTGCCTCAGGGGGAATTTTTTCGATTGAATTGAAACTAAATGATCACTGTGTTCAAACCGTTTTGTCTTTCTGCCGAGCAAAATCGAACAATTCGCTTTGATTAAGTTCGATTAGTTCGATTGAGTTCGGTAATCGAACTCACGAGTTCGATTAAGTGAATTCACCGAAAAGTTCCAAGCTAGTTCCAATTCGATTATGTTCGATTACCGAACCACTCGAATAACAATCCGATCGATTTGGTTCGATTGATTTTTGGTTCGATTTCGTTCCGTTAGCTTCGCCGCGCATACGCCACCCAAGTTTCACGTATTTCATTAAAACAGTCGTTTTCATTTTGTGTTTCTCTTTTTAAAAACTATGAAAAATAGAGCAGCAAAACAAGAAGGCTGCATGCCTACTATCTTTTAGCTGAACCTACCCCCCCCCCCCCAACCCCACCCCCTCGCCTGATACACATACAGGCCTCAGAAGAGTACAGGTAGTAGACAAGTAAATGCTACCTTCAAGGAAAAGTTGCATAAGAGTTTAATGATATCCCGCCAAGGAAACGTATTAAAGAATTAATCTCAAGTAATACTTGTCTAGAGAGCATTAATGCTTTCTGCATTCACGTCTGCCTCAAGTCTGACCACTTATAGTATATGTCTGACTTGAAGTTCTAGTGTGAATATCACCAGGAAATAATTAAAATTGCTGCTTCAACGTTTTCATGGTTTTCGTGCCGGCGCAAAGGTAATATAAAATATCCCATATAGTGTGAACATAGCCTAGGAGATAGGCGCGGCGCAGCTTCGCCCGGTTACCAAAATCGCGCCGAAATCACCCTTCTTATGAGTGATCGGCAGCCCTACAATGTATCCGGTTTGGTTTTCGTGCAGGCGCAAAAGCTATAATAAAAAGTATCCGGTATAGGGTGAAAACTGACAGCCTAAGAGATCTGCGCGCCCAGCTTCGCTCCGTTATAGAAATCGCGCCAAAATCACCGTTCTTATGGGTGAACAGAAACCCTATCTGATTAATTTTAAGCTTCTCCGAACAAAAAGATTCGTTTTGGCCTTTTCCACGTCAAACACCTCTTTTCTCACGTAATCATTCAAAAATTTAACTTATTCCTGGTTAATAACAAGGCTAACTTACCGCAAAAAGAAAAAAATTTAGCCGTGTTTAAGTGGTTATGACCCGGGGCCCGGATGTGTCCAGTCTAGTGTGAACATAAATATCCGGTATGTGACTCCACTTATTTAGGGATCGGCGCGGCACAGCCTCGCTCCCTTAACGAAATGGCGCCCAAATCACCGCTGTTATGCATGAACCAGTCGAAAGTCCTGATCATTAACATGCAGGCCCGGAAACCGTTGTTGTTTACATTTAAGATCGAGGTAATTCAGCAAAATGGATTGGTTTGTTAGGTTGGACCTGCGCTTTCATTCTTTAGATTTTGATTGGAATATTTGATTTCGAGGCGGAAACGTTAGCGGGACTTTCAAGGAATATTTTTGCGGGAATTAAGCTTCTTCACCCAAAAAATACAATGTACTCTTTTAAAGTAAAGAATAATGTAGCTGACGGTCATTCCACACGTAAAGAGAGATGCTTCGGGAAAACCTTTTGGTTTCACCCTGAAAATGTTTAAATCTTCGGGAAAAACCGTCACACGAAAAATTACAAATTTATACACTTCTTTATATTTGAAAATGATCCCAGTTCAATTCAATTCTATCTCTTATTGCAAAACCGCGATACTGTAATATTTTACGATAAATCGTTGATCTCGGCGGGCCTGACACTTCATGAATAACCTAAAAAAAAAATTTAGAAAACCGGGGACACGGGTAAACTGCCGTTTTTTCTGCCGCAAACATCAGGAAGCAGGAACACCTTTCACCTTACTTCTATTAAGTATCATAACCTACGGAAAAGATTTGACAGTGTCCATAAAATATACCCACCTGCACCTTCTTTTAAAAACACCTCTCGACAAGCTTCATACTCTTCTTCCAAGATGGTAGTTATAAGTTTCACCTCGGTTAGCCCAAACGTTTTCAGAACATCCTCTGTTACCAGAGACTGTGCCTTTTTGTTAAGGGTACCTGTGCAATGGGCTTTCCACAATTCATCTAAGATCTCCAGAGAGCTACATTCTGCTGTGATTATTAAGCTTCCTGTATTAACACCAACAACAATCACTTTCCGGACGTCAGTCATATACTTCATAAATGCATTAAACTCCTCCCGTGTTGATGGGTTGAGTGTGTTTAAGTACTTAGATGCAATGTCCGTCAAAATGTCCTGGGAACGGGGCACCCCTTTTGCATCAGCACCTTTGTGAAACGGAGAAGAGGGTGACATTGTTTCTCCCCTGATCTCCAATTTAGGTAGGGCATCTGCCAACTTTGCAGAGGTCATGCTTACATCTCCTCTATTGAAAAGGCGTGTAATAGTTGAGCAATCTTCTTCTAGACCGGTAGTCACATCGCTACACTGCACGTTCTGCTCCTCACTTTTTACCTCTTCCAGTTCACGTCGGCCAGCTGATTTAAAGAACTTGAATCTTATATAATCTAAAACTTCTTGTGCAGACGGAACACCTCTTCCTGGTAGTCCAGGTCCAGTCATAAAATCGCAGTCAATATGTATATCAAGATAAACTGCAAGATTAAAAAATGTAACGGGGATCTTCAAAATTGAGTTCCTCTGTATGTATTGGAACAGACTACATATAGCAAAAGAAATGTTCAAAAGAACCAAACCATCACTTACCGCACAAGCATTTGCTAATTCTCAGTGGATGTACTCTCTTTTTTTGTTAAGTGTCAACCTTTAATTATTTTTCTGTATGTACTAGGAGCATTAATAATTAAAGATTGATTGATTGATTGTATTGTTTGGTTCTCTGGTCTTTCACTTTCAAGTACGGTAACCTTTGCCTGTACAGTACAAACGAAACCTAGAGTTTTCGTTCAGAATTGTCACCATTGCATATTATCATCATAACCGACATTATAGTAACTACCAGAATTGTTTATAGGATTTTGCGTTCTTGTGAAAGTTACCGGTAGGTCTATTGTGGGTCTAAATCTCAAAAGGATTACTAAATTTAAAAGGATGATTCTGACAATTGCAGTAAATAAACAAATGCTTCCATTTGTAATGACAATGGCTTATTCCTGACATCCACGATAAAAATTCTATTGCAATGCAGGAGACTGGAAAAGACAAACCTCAGTTTTCCCGGAGGGAGTAGAACCTATGACCTTCTTGTAAAATGTTACTAGTCGCCACAATTTCCAAGTTGCCTATCTTACTGACAGAAAAATTCAAAAGCATTTTGAACTATCATGCCACCTATTGCCATTCCAGTACTTACTGAAGCAGGGTATTGATTACATGTACCAAGTTTAATGGCATTAACTCCACTGACATCAGGGAATTGTTAAGAAACAACACTTACGAGAAATCTTAGATTAGGACATCTTAATAAAATCTGGCCCCAGGGTTGGGTTACATAGCAAAAAACGTTCAATCTTTAAAGATGAAGTGTGAATTTTCTGCAACATTTCTCTTTGTTCTGGGTGATTATGTTTACACAATGTCAAGGAAAGCTGTGGAAGCAGCGCATTTTAAAATACAGACTCAGTACAAGAAAAGTGCCTTGGAACACAGGATACAACAGCACAAAATTCACACTTAATGTAACTATTTCCTGGGTCATTTCCTTGAGCAGTTTCTGTCCTTTTTTACCACCCCACCTTTCTCTACCAACAATAATGGCCACAGACAGCACAAGAACCAAAAAAACTGCCCAAAAATTATTATTTTAGATATAATAACGATTATTATTTTGTTCATGTTGTCCTTCAGTTTTCAGTGCGTCGTACCTGTTGTGACTGATGTTTCCTGCTGTAATGAGGTAACAGGTACTAAAGCCAACTCTTGCATCCCTTCTTTGGGTTCCTGTTGGATTTTCATGATCTCAGTAGATCCCCAATCTTTTTCATTTTTACTTGTGACTTGGCAAACAGCATAAGCAGTAAGTTCAGCACTACCTGTTGGAATAAAAATCCTATGATGCACTTTTGTATTGGCTGAAAACTAAAAAGAAATTAAAGGAAAAGCTATGGGCGTGCCACTTAACACAACTCTGTGGTATGGCCAGTACTTTATGCAACAGCACAGTTACACCTGTTTATAAAATAACTAAGATAGATAGTACGCGCGCTCTGATTGGCCGAGAGGAGTATTTGCATTAGAGTATGTAAACATGGTTGTGGCGTCAAGATGTTTTGGTTTTCGCGCGCTAATAACGCAAGCACGAATTTGAAAAAGGTTTGGAGTTCAAAACTCCACAATTTTACTTTATTTACCCATTCCTTTGTCGGCTCAAACTTGGAAAATCGTTAAAAAGGTGGTGTGTCAATTTTTCTTCGCTTAAGCTGATAATTTAAGCGAGAAAAATCCGTATTTTGGAAAGCATCTTTTTGCAAAACAAGAACTGATTACGCGCGCAAGACTTCGTGGACAAGACTTTGCGACTGGTAAGAATTTCTCTTTTAATCAGTGCCACACAAAGAGTTTTGCGTTTTTTCTCGGCAAAGTCAGTTTATAAAAGCAATAGAAAACTTTTTTCCTGTGTTTGAATAGCCTGATATAAACTAATAACGAAAACACGCTGTGAGGTACTTTGGACCATATATATGGTCTAGATTGGACAGCAAACCTAGCTTACAATCTTTTAGGTTCAGTTTAAGAATTTTAATAACATTTTTAACACTCTCCTGTATAGTTCAGTAGGATTAGCTCCGTAATTTAAAATTTTAAATGTTTATAAATTTTAGATTTTAGGCAATTGTAGAATAATCTTAATACACATGGACTTGTAGTCAGTAAATTGTTTTCCAGTACAACCCTTCCTACGACTTGTACTACTAGAATCTCACGCTTGGTTTCAAGACTTGAACAAGTGGTGAGTATTGGACATGGATGGAGGTGAAAAGTCGCCCTGATATCGCTCACAATATGGCGCTGCAACGAAATTGCCATTCTTGTCACAAGACAAATAGCCTGTTCCAGGCTCCAAGAGAGTAATGTTCAGCGATATGAAAACTGATGCAAATAACGCGCTGGGAGCTGAGGAGAGAGAAGGCGCACTTTCACATATATATTCCATATCTCGCGCGCCTTATTTTCCCTTGNCTGGGGGCGTTATGGTCTATGGGAAAATGGTGAATATTTATGGTTTACTTCATTACCATGCAATTTACCACATAGTGCATTTGAAACTCGTTTACATTTTTCTTCTTTACATAAATAAAACGTAGGTTACAAGAGGGCATTACCATGTTGCTCTAACAACTATTAATCACATTTTGACAGCTTTAAAGTGAGACACAATCCGTACAGTACTCTAACCTTCTTAACCGTGCCCATCTACCTACAACCAGTTACAAAAATACCTCATTTTGGCTTTAAAGGCCTGCCTATGTGCTTGTGATCTCCCTTCCTCCCCTTATAGTAGCCAGCAATTTAAGACCACGCTCAAACGTACTGAAACAACTTTGAATGGAAGGGAGGGGGGAGGTGAGTATTATATCTCACAGACGTGTGATTAGCAGTGATTTGAAGTAAGAAAGGTCGGAGTGTTTCAACATTTTGCAACTTGTTAAAGCGTACAAAAAAGGCGCTTATTTATAAAGTTAATCATGGTAGGGTACCCAGCAATGAGAGTGACATTTTCAGCGTTCAGTCATTCAAGTATCACTTGAGAAACAGGGATTCTCATATACCCAGATTTAATACTGTAAATTACGAAAACACGCTGTGAGGTACTTTGGACCATATATATGGTCTAGATTGGACAGCAAACCTAGCTTACAATCTTTTAGGTTCAGTTTAAGAATTTTAATAACATTTTTAACACTCTCCTGTATAGTTCAGTAGGATTAGCTCCGTAATTTAAAATTTTAAATGTTTATAAATTTTAGATTTTAGGCAATTGTAGAATAATCTTAATACACATGGACTTGTAGTCAGTAAATTGTTTTCCAGTACAACCCTTCCTACGACTTGTACTACTAGAATCTCACGCTTGGTTTCAAGACTTGAACAAGTGGTGAGTATTGGACATGGATGGAGGTGAAAAGTCGCCCTGATATCGCTCACAATATGGCGCTGCAACGAAATTGCCATTCTTGTCACAAGACAAATAGCCTGTTCCAGGCTCCAAGAGAGTAATGTTCAGCGATATGAAAACTGATGCAAATAACGCGCTGGGAGCTGAGGAGAGAGAAGGCGCACTTTCACATATATATTCCATATCTCGCGCGCCTTATTTTCCCTTGACCCTGTTTTCTCGACGTCCCTAATATCCGAGGGCTTGGCACGGGATACGCGACAAATCGTGAGAAAAACGCCAGTAAAACGACCCCTCCATACCTCTTAAAATTTGGCCACCTACTTAAGAAATTCCTGTAATATACTAGAAATACGTTTATCGCAACACCTCGCGTAGCTGTAAAGAGCCAGCCGTACGAAAAAAAGGGAACAAGTCAATAAGTAATAAAAAAATGGTTAAAAAAAAAGGCGAATAAAGGGAAAAAAAGGAAAAAATGCCCTGGCCGAGATTTGAACCCCGACCACCTGCATGCAAAGTCGTGTCTTAGACTACTGCTCCACGTCGCCAATTCGACAAAATTATGAACCTTCGCTACGCGAGGAAATTAATGAGCATCAACCCTATATAAATTCGCTAATACGCTTGACAGGCTTGTTCTTTAGCCAATTTTAATGCACTATTATAGTTACCTTCTGCCTTTGGACAGGACTCAGGATGCAGTGAAGAAATCTGTTAAAGGGGAAGAAATTTTACCTGTCAGTAAGCATAACCAATACATTCTTGAGTGACGGGCAAAGCTTTTGCATAGAGTCAGGCTTTTTGCAAAATATTAGAAAGCCCTAGTGCCCATACTTAAGAATAAATTTCAATTCGCGTGCAAATTAATTAAAAGTAACCGTCATTTGAATGGTTGTGATGAGGATTCAACCCATTCGCTCCTGGAAATATTGCCGAAAATCGCCCTTTGAAGCTACAATAGTTGAGCGGTGTTCTGGTCAAACAAGATTTTCATCGGAATTTTCGGGTCAACTTTACAAGGTTTTTTTTTTTTTTGGCCTTTTTCTCCGGCCTCCTTCACTGAATTGTGCTTATTCTGTTATGGTTTGAAAGACCTCTTCCCCCTGATAGATGACTTAATAGTAGTTGTTCTTGACCGTTCAAAACTGATGATGTCACAAGCAGTAGATGGAACGTGGGCGGTTGCGGAGGTTCAGCGGCGAACGGGATAACTGCAAATAAGAAATGCGCCATTTTTTTTTAAACTTTGCTTGCTCACCTCTTTGGATAAAAATGAGCTATAACGAGAAACAGCACTCCCGAGGTCCCCGCGTGAATCTCCAGGTTCGCTAAAGGTACAAAAACAAATGTTACAGTAAAATATGCATGCTTTCCATGTCGGATTATAGTTAAAGGTACT